GACAATAATTGAAAATATTTTTTATATATTATATCTTCTGTTGACTATTTATTATCCCAAATGATGTATAAATAGTCACTTTTTGAATTCCGCACCTACAAATTGACCAAAATTATGAAAAACAAGACTATTATCATAGCTAGTAAAACCTGAACTAAAGTTAAACAGTGTTAATAGCAAACCCACTGTAAAAACAAATTTAAACAAACTGAATTAGTCAAACAAAAAAATCACAATGAAATAAAACTAAACTGTAATGAAAAGCCCCAAACTATTCTATCCCTGATTGGAACATGAAGTTATGCCGTTACTATTAGTTATCTAATAATTATGGCATAATAATAATAATGCAGTGATACATTGTCAAAGATCAATAAACTTCCAATTCTAATGAACATTTAAAACTGAAACTGAAAAGCATTTTTAAATATCCAAAGAAATAAACAAACAACATAAACAACAAATAAATAAATGATGAAGTTTCTGTAAATAAAATTGTCCTTCAGAAAAAAACACCAGACTGAAGCCTGGAGAGGAAAGGGGGAAAAAACCCACACTAATGGAAATTATTGAGCTTGCTTTAATTTTTCATAAGATTTATTGTGGCAGGCGTAAATATCTGCCAGATTTGACTTATTGAGACCGATATCAATATGTGAAAGTTGTGCTAATATTGGCCGATATTCCGGTTGGAATCTTTGTGTATTTAAAAAAAAAAGCAATTAATTGCATTCAGTTTTTTTAAGACGTTAAAATCCATGTAAATAATGAATCGAGACAAACAAGTCAGTGAAGGGTTGAATAAGTTCAGTGGAGTTTTGTGCTGACTGTCCCTCCTGCTGCCTCGTGTCTCGGATCCGTTGTCGATCGTCTGCATGAATGAAGCCGTGTGCAGAACGGTGGAAGACTCACTCTGGTATTTCTGCTTTCATGCACTTCAAATGCACTTGGAAAGCAGCATGTTTCTGACAGATTAATACAGCCTGCTGGCTTTCAGTTTGAATAAATTGATTTCAGAAATAAGCATGAACAATTCATCCATATTTGGAACAGCTGAACAGTTCTTTTCTGCTCCATGTGGGCTAAAGGTCAGGCTGTTTGTCTAAACTCCATATGGAGCAGCAAGATGCTCTGTAAACAGAGGAATGTTTGGGTTGCACTTATTATAGGATTGTAGTTTTTTATGTACTTTGGCACTCTGAACCCACAACACTGAGCTACGGACTCTGCGGCTTTACAGTGCATGTACTGTAGATGTGAGCATTGGTCCACTTTAGTCCAAGAGAAAAGGGGAAATGTTCCAAGAAACATCCTGCTAATTCGAGTCACAAATACTTTATTTATGCCAAAGGGAAATTAAATGTTGTCATAACTCATGTGTTATGACAACATGTGGAGGCTGATGCTGTAGGCAGGAAGTGTCTCCAGTAGCAGTCAGTTTTACAGTGAATCTGAAGAGGCCTCTGACTGAAGACAGGTGCTGTCTTAGTTTCACAAGCCTGTTGCAATGAGCAGGTCATCTTTAATTGAGAGATAAATTAAAATGAGCTCAATAATTTCCATTCAGATGATTCATATTTTTTGAAGGAGGATTTTTTTCACAGACTTCATAATCCTTTTTTATCTGTTTATTTCAGTTGCATCTGGTTTCTATTTCTGTTTTATGTATTGTATTTGGTTTGTGTTTTACTTAGAATATTTGGAATATATTCCAGTTCCAGTGTTGAGAGTTTTTACAAAATGAGTTTATCAAACTTGTATTGTTATGCCATTTTAAATATTACTTAAAAAATGTCTCAAAGTAACCAATATTAACTGATAAATCAATAACAATATGTTGCAGTAAATATGTGATCAATATAAATAGATAACTGCTTAAAAATGAAGAAAAACATTGTGGAGAAAAACCTGGATAAACAGGAAATGACACGTCACCAGTTGGACAGTAATTCAGATATTTAAATAAAAAGCTAATTAATGTCATGGTACATTTTCAGCCATATGGTCAAATGACATTAACAGAGATTAAAAGCCTAAACATGCAATTCCCAAACCCAAAAGATGTGGAGTAAAAGTCTCCAAAAAGAAGAAATGAGCAGCAGAGACCTTCTGCTCCAGCAGGCCGCCTCCATTTTGGCTCATTTCTAGACAGATATTCTGTTAAGGCTTTACTGGCCTTAACAGGTGACCTGATGGAAACCAACAGCCAGACAGCTTCACTGACAGCAGCTCTTCTGTATAGATGCTGTTACCGAATCCATAAGGTCAGTCTCAGTGAGCAGTTTTACAGTTATTTTCATGTGGGCACATAAACGTTTCTGTGTGAACCAGACTTTAGTTGTCCTGACGGGCTAGTGGCAGAATCCTCAACACTTCAACATTTACCTGTCGCTTTATCACTGTAATTGTGCTCAGAATGCAAAGATCCATTTTGCTTTCTCTCACACAGTGTGGCGTCTCCACTGCTCTTTACATAAATAATCCGTAACCAGTTCAGGCAGCGTTGAATGCTGTTTTCATGTTAAAGAGAAATCTGAACCAGTTTGTGTTTTATTGGCAGCTCAAAGCTTTAGAGGGTTTCCTGTGGCTGCATGCACCTGTCTCAAATTATGTTATATTTCCCTCCATTGCCAGAGTTTTCCTCTTACATGATCCTGGAAGCAGGATTGATGTTTATGTCAGCGGTAACACTACAGACCCAGATGTGGAGTGACGCCTCTCGTGCAGTTTGTTCTAGAGGTTTAATTAGCAGCAGATGGAGGATGGAGGGTAGAGACAGCAGCCTGGAGGCTGCAGGCGGCCGTCACCATCGCTCCTGCTCAGCTCATTCCTTCCCTGCCCAACCTCCACACCACAAATTATCTGTGCAGTACTTCATCTCACTGCATGCTGAGCGTTAAAGCAGCTTGTTCCCCGGCTCCCCGGGAGACATTTCATCTCTTGGATCTGGAGGAAAGCTTTAGATGTGAAGAAATTTGCAAGAAAAAAACTTTTCAAAGTCAAAAATTTTCTACTTTTGGAAATCTTCTGGATTTAAAATGTCAAAAATTCACAACATTTGAAGCTCAGACATGGTCATGTTTTTAACTAATTAATATAAAACTATCTGAGTTTTTACTGGTAAAAGTTTGACTTTTCAAACTCAGAAGGTTCCAAGTATTTTCTAGAAAATTTATAAGATTGAGAAGATCTCAAAACTTCTGAGATTTTCTTGCAAATTCTTGATGTTTGGAGATCAGAAGCTTCCTTGTTTGTGTGTATGTGTGTGTGTGTGTGTGTGTGTGTGTGTGTGTGTGTGTGTGTGTGTTTTGGGGATTGGGGGATTAGAATTTAGTTTTTGATTAATATCAAAATTTCTGGGGAATTTTCTAGCAAAACTTTGTCCTTTCAAACTCAGAAATTTTCAAGTGTTTTCTAGAACATTTCTGAGAAAAATCTTAAAATTTGTGAGTATTTTCTAGCAAAATTTCAATTTGTTTTTGGTCGTTTACATGCAGCTTAATGCTGCAGGTTCTGGCTTTGAGTCCGAAAGGAAACTAAATGACCAAAAGTTCAATTTAAATTCTTATATAAGCTACAACATGATTGTTATTAGAAACATAATGATCAGCATCAACACAAACATTTTATTACATAATGCGCCACATTATCACTTTATAATTTGTTAAGCAGAGCTGCCTCATAATAATCGGTGGAAAATGTAAAGTTTTTATACATAATGTGGCAGAAAGTTTTGCAAAATGTGTTCAAGGATTTTATTATGTTTTGCGTTGATTATTACATAATGCTATTTCAATGATGTTTTATTACTTTTTGAAGATTTTACTTCATTATTACATAACACAGCAACACATATGTACTGCAGGCCGGGTGTAGAGGAGGACTGCTCTCCCTCCTCAGCCTGTCTGATGACGGCTCTCAGGTTCTTATTCAAGCAGTCCTCTGGTTCCTCTGAATCTGATCAGGACCATCTGTTTTGGAAGCGGTTATTCTCAAATGATTTGCAGGTTTGCTCTGTCGCAGATGAAACTACTCATGACGTTCTTCAGAACCTTTCAAAACGAGCTGCACAGATTACATTTCCTTCAGCTAAACGCTCCCCACATGGACCACAGCCCACCTGGACCTGTCAGAGATGACACTTTGTTTCTGAGCACAGCGTTCCACTCAGAACTACACCTGACAGACTCTTGTTTGCATTATGATGCGATGGTTTGGTCGACTGTCTGATCAGGAGAGAAGTAAAGAGGAATAATAAAGTTGGTTTCTCAGCAGTTTTTGTGACCCTGCCATCCCCAAGAGATGGAGTTATGCAACTGAGGAAAACAAGAAAAATCCTTCCACATTTTGTTTTCTTCCAAACAAGTCATTTTTCTCTGCACACGTTGGGGCTCAACGTTTTTTTTCATCTGCTGTGTGTTTGTCACCACGATCCCCAACGTCCAGGCTGAGCATAGATGTCTGCGAAAAGAAAAAAGCAGACGCAAAATTTACATCCCGCATGCTGTCGCAAAAAAAAAAAAAACTACTTGCGAGGTTCTAGAGGAGCCTGAATTTGAGGTGTGTGGACGTACTAATTAAATCATGTTTAATTAGTTCCACGTTTAGACGAGACCACATACACCTCAACAGCTACAGCGGTGTAGTTCTTATGCCAGGCTACTGTGTGGCGCTGTGATTTTAGCATGTCAGTGTATGCGTTTTTGGCCCTTAGCTTTTATTTTCCCTTTTTAATGTAATTATATTTTAAATATCTTTGAGAATAAAATTGGACCAAAGTCAGATTCCTTGTTTGTCTGCACAGACTTGATGAATGAAGCTGATTCTCCTTCCTAGACTTCACTCCTTCTGACCCGGCCTCAATGTTTTATTCTGAAAAGTTCCCTTCAGAAATGTTACAACTCTAAACAGGAGTCAAGATTTAAAGGAACTCAGTGTTTCAGCTGTTTTACAGTTTTCTGGAAGTTTGTTCCAGATTTGTGGTACATAGACGCTGAATGCTGCTTCTCCTCCTTTGGTTCTGGTTCTGGTGATGCAGAGCAGAACCAGAACCAGAAGACCTGTTACCTCTTACAATTCACACTGTGTGGCTCAAAGTAGCATTTCTTAATTTAAAAGTGTATTTTATGTTATTTTGAGTTCTTCATGTTTTTCCACTGGAGGTCTTGGCCCCCAAAACACCGCCGCCATCTTTAGCATCAGCAGTAGCTGATGCTAACTGCAACTAGCGCTTAGCTAGCTTACAGCTTACTGCTTACAGATATATTATAGTTGTATCCAAATTCAGGGTCTGCTAATGTGTGTCAAGCTTCAGCATAACCAAAAGTCTTTATTAGCCAGCTCTGTCATCACAAAATTCAAAAAAGACTTCCCTTTTCACTTCAAAATAAGAGCCTCCAACATGGATGCAACATGGTGTTGATGTCATTTCTTATCTGTCTCCTAATGATGGCTTCATTAATTCACCATTTGTCATGTGTTCATAGTATTTAGAGTTAGTAAAAAAAACTTGACTGGTGATTTTTACTGTTGAGTTTTTGTCCAGAACTGGTCTGGCTCTATACGTTTATCATTTCTACGCTTTTTGACAGGATAAGATTTACACTCATTTTTCACACAAAAGGATGAGGCTTTTACTTTTACAGCATTTCTCATAGCAAAGTGACTCCTTGGCATTAGAAGCTGAAGGGGGGTTAGAGGATTGGGGGGCTGTTTCCCCACTGGGATTCAAACAGAGCTCTGTTCATAGCCAAGACAGGACGAACATACATGGGCCGTCCTGCGTTTTGCATTTCCTGCGCTGTGGTTGTGTGACTAGCGGAGCTGCAGTGTTTTCACACCAGACCAGGTGAAACCGGAATGTTTCAAATGGAAAAGTTCCAAAGCGGGATCGATCAGCGTCTTTAGCCCCGCTTTAGTTCTCTCCCTCTCTCTCTCTTAGATGTTTTTTTTTTTAAACATTTCCATAATTCCATATTGCAGTGATTTGCTCTGGTAGAATAATTAGATAGCTTAATGTCCTGATATTTTCACCAGAGAGCCACTCAGATTTCCCATGATGCTGCACTAGCAGGGACATGATGTCACACAATGCATGCTTTCAATGTGTGCCATCTCAGCTTGTTGCTGAGCTCGCTGTCTGCCAGGTGTTAGTCATTTCCTAAACCCAAGCAGACATTACCTTTGCTCACTGGCCTTTAAACGGACGAGGAGAAAAACGTTACTTTGGATGTTTTCATGCGTGAAATGTGATTCTGAGTCAGCAGATAAATCAAAGAGTTAAAGAAAAATGTTGAGTTGGACCTTCTGTTGGCAGAAGGATCATCTGATTTGTCTTTGTTGCTCTTCTCTGCTGATGTGAATCTTCTTGAGGAAATACAAAAAATCTAAAGCTTAGCTTGGTGGAAAATAAGCGTTATCCTTGTATTTAAGTTATAAGCCAATGTTTCTGGGAGTGATATTGAGTCACTTTATAGTATTTCCACACTTCTTCCTCAGAAACTGCAGCTATCTAGACTGGACGATCTGTTCCAGAAGCACAATCGGTACATCAGCTAATTTATGCTAGTGCTAACAGAAATGCTTCCAGGAAGGATATCTTTATTTCTTTTTTTTCTTTTTCTATGTCATTGTATGGTAAAAATAGTGTATGATTTAAAAAGAATAACAAGAAATAAAAACAGAAACAGTTTAACAGCAAGTAAATATATAAGTATATAAGTAAGTGTATATATAGTAGCTGGTGTAGAATAATCAAATATGAGGAAAGATTCTTTGTAAAAACATCAACTCCTTCAGCCTCACTGCACAGAGTAAAAGCTCCATTGATTTTTAACACATGATTACACTTTACTAAATGTTGTGACTTTTCTGAGAATGGGCTTTAAGAAAATGTAAAGTTTAAACACTGAATGTTTTGTTGTTGTTGCGTCCAGATGTGGGTCAGTGTAGGATCCTCTCAATATTCTAATCTAGAATGTTTTCATTAGCTTTTATGATCAGCATTACAGAAATAAAGACTTGATATGATGTGAGTTTCATTTAGTGAACTGAGTTACTGAGATACATCAACTTTACATCAAAATTCTGACTTATTGAGTAGGACTGCATGTAGATCACGTAAGAGACAGACATATATACATGTGGACTACATCATTTTTTGTCTTTTAGATTTTTATTTTAAAATTTAAAATGCCATGTCTGCCCTTCATACTCTGTCATTCCCTGTACATTACATTTTTACAGTGTTCTCCAGTGTGTGTGCCGTGTGTGTGGCACCCTTGGCTCTCCAGATCACATCCATATGTGAAACGGCTGCAGCTACTCCATGAACTACCAGCTCTGCTGCTCCAGCTTTTTCTAAAACGATATTAATTTATAATAATCCACTCACAGTGGAGCAGTCTCAGGTCTGTTTCCAGATGTTAATATAACATGTAGAGAAAAATAGTTTAATGCTGTTGTTTATGGACTACATGTGTTTATATCTCCTATTACTGAATAGATATTAATGAGAAACAAAATATTGAATATTAGGTCGGTGTTAAGGAGCCACATTATAAATGAACTCAGTTGCAGTTAGATAAAACAAAGCTTCAATAAAGGTTCATTTTTATTCAAGTAAGTGGATACATTTATAATATTTAGTATAATATGTTTAAGGGTTGATTCAAGTAAAATGGATCATTGAAATAATAATAATAAAAAACTTTTAAAAAGTGAATGTCTGTTTGGTTGTTTTTGATCCAAAATAGAGAAGTCCTTTAAACTTTCTGGCTTCTTACATTGTTAGCATGTTAGCTGTAGCTTACAGTTCTGGTAAAAATAGAATAACACAACAGCAAATGATAGACCCAAGGCCCATACCATCAATCTATGCTTCATATTTCCCTTTTAATTCATCAATCATATTTCTGAAATGTAATGTGAAACGTGGTTAGCCACCAACACAGTACAGTGTGACAGTATTTTTGGAAGATGGGAATGATTAAAAAAAGGATCTTAAAGTTAAGGTCTGACCCGCTGATTCGGAATTTATTTATTTTTGTCTGAAAAGTCATTAAATATGGCAACAAAGTCACTAAGTTGGCAACTCTGGGCTGACTGTCATTAACTACACACTAAGATGTGACCTAAGATGGGCTTTACAATGAAGGATCTGTCAACTGCAGCTCACCCAAAATGAATTAACTCTTGGCTGATTTGTTTGTGTCTGTTGCTGAAAATGAGAGGATTTTGTCGAACAGATTTCTCTCGTTGCCCTTCATAAGTTTTGCCGTTATTCTCTGGACCTCTTGGCTTTGAAAGTCTTACAAACTCATTCTTAATGCAGGTCTTTTTAAGTTTTCAGGGATGTTCTGTGGTCACTGCTGTTTGATGGTACAGATTGTTGCACTAATCCAACAAAGCACATAAATGTTTCACAAAGTGTGAAGTGACTGTTCATCAGTGTAACGTCTGTCTTCTGATACCACAGATTCACCACATTTGCTTCAAGTGTGGTTGTGTGAAATGGTGTGTGTGTGTGTGTGTGTGTGTGTGTGTGTGTGTCTGAGCCCGTGAGGTAAAACGATGCCGACCTGAAGGCTCAGACTGATCCTCATCGCCCTCAGCCTCCATGTTAGGTTGGCTTTACACTCAGCCGGCCGCTTTATTCATTTTTAAACTTCAGACTTTTTATCCTCGTTGTTTGTTGACATGTTGTGATGTTATAGCGTTATTGTCTGTGATTCCCATCCCTTTAAATATGCCAACACCTCGTAATGTCTAGTGTGTGTGAGTGTGTGTTTTGTGACATGAACATTGTCACTGATGTGTTTTGTTCTTCAGAACATTTGTCGGAGCGGAGCAGTGGGCAGAAAACCCGGAGGAGCCCCCTGCAGAGCCTGTATGAGGGGGAACAGGTGAGTGGTGTGGGACGCATTCCCTTCTTTTAGAAACCTCAACGCTGTTTTGATTTTCTTTGTTTCTTTATTTTGGGGCGGTGTTAAAAGCCCCTTTGATTTTTGTGTCTTGTAGTCAAATTGCACTCTTCAGAAGTTTTGTGCCTTAAGGTGCGACTTTGCAGATCATCGCCTTTTTATTTGTTTTAGAAAGAAGAGCCACTTCCTTCTCTTGCAGTTATTGTTAAAACATTTTACAACTACATAAGTCACAGAATATAATAAGTTATTCTCTTAATGTATATTTTTAATTTATTGACCTAGTTAACACTTCCCAGTTTATTATTGTTCAGAATGTGCTCAGAAACAGTTTTTTGAGCACATAAACCTTCTCTTTGAATTTTCCATTTTTAACAGCAGAAAGCATCACCAGACGGTGAGACTTTAGATGTTCTATCTTATCACCTGCATTTTATCCTTTGCTGCCTTCGTCGTTGGTTGTGTTTCCTGTGTTGGTTGTTCACTGAGATCTCAAACCTATCCACATTTTTTTTTTCTTTTTCAGATTTGAAATGCTTTGTGTAAAAACACAGCAGCTGTTCCCAGTTAAGTCTTTCTGTGTGGAGAAGGAAGGTTTAATTTTCATAAAACAAACAAGCTCCAGCAGGTTCCCCTTAAATTTAACTGCTTGTAATATTTTCTTCATTTTCCTTCCTCCTCAGGTCTTAACTTGCTAATCTCTCAGGATGGTAATTAGGAGGTAAACTGTTGGCCAGACTCACTTATGTGTCTGTTTGGCCCAACTCAACCTTAAGCAGCTCTTAAAACTTAGAGGTTTGGGCAAAATAAGCTGTAAATATTGTAGAGTAAATACTTAAAGTGGGGAAACTTGGTGTTTAATAAACCACCAATTTTTTATGTTTCCCTTCTGAAGAACGGAGAGATCTTGGCCACATAAAATCTGAGCTCATAGTGATGAACATTTTAAGAAATTTCTTATAACTTCTTGAATTCTACAATTTTTCCTTGAATTTTAAATCAGTAAGATAAAAGTTAAAGAGATGGGCAGATCGATCCGAAATATTGATAACATGTCGGTATTGGTATATTGAAATTTCATCTGATTTAAATATTGTAGTTTCTCAATTTTACCTAAAAACAGATTTTTGTTTTGCTCTCAAATTATATTTTTTGCACTTTAAGGAAAGATATCCACATAAATTTGCTTTGTTGTTTTATTATTATTTCTGTTTATCTTGTATTTTGTAGACATCTACAAACTTTGTCCAAATTGTGTCCTAGATTTTAATAAAATATTTCTAAGAAAAAAAAACACAAAAACACCTAGAGGTCAGCAGTATAACGATATAAAAACCTACATAATAAAAGCATTGATAATATTGATATCAGTATTGATGATATTGGCCTATATTTACTTGGTATCGGATTGACAGCAAAATATTTAGTATTGCACTCCTATCTAGTGCAGGGAATTCTGGGTAAAATACAACCAAAACAAACATGCGTGTCCAGTGCTAGCAGAAGGAACGACTCAAGGTTTTGTTTTTTACCAAAGACAAAGGAGAAATCCTACAACCACTAAAATCTGATGCCACTCCATTTTTGTTTACATAAAGAAGGAAGATTCCAAAAATGTAGCAATAAAGTCAGAATCAGAGGAATGATTCAGACTTTTTATGGCTAGCAATGATATCGTGCTTCTATGTGATTGTTTACAGCACATGCAGATTTCCTGTAAGCTTGATATTTAAAACGTCTTCCAGTTTCAGTTTATTAAAATTTAAAATGTATTGACCTTTGAGGTGCTGTTCTTGCATTATGATGTCATTACCATTCTATTACTTGAAAATGGTCTCTCGTTTACTGCAATAACTTTTGGGACAATTTATCATCCAGCAACATTTGTTAAGGTGACAGGCCTTGTTGCATGTGGTTCACCTGAAAACCAAACCCTTTATGTTAACCCTCAGCAGCAGTACCAAACCCTGCTGCTGTCTCCCAAGGACATGTTTGACTTGGACGGTCCTAGTTGCTATTAATGTCCCCTCATTGTCCACACGGACAGACTTAAAGGCGAGGTCTAGGTTTACGTGAGAGTACGGGCCAGGTTCTGCTGCTCAGAGCGTAGCCCCTCAGAGTTTCCTGGATGTTCCAGTGTCTGTCGGCAGACACTGAGAGCCAGTCATCGAGTCGGATACAGAGTCAGACTCTGAGCTCTGGGGCTGTGGCCGCTGCACTGCCAAGCCAGCCCGAGTAAATAAAAAGAGTAAATAAGACATTTGTGCCAGTAGGAGAACAGGATGAACTAGATGACCCCTGGTTTTACCAGGTAGCTGCATGTTCCAGCGGCCGTGAGACCACCCTCTATGGAGTCAGAGCTTCACTCACCATGGAGAAGTGAAGTCCTCATGACATGCAGAGCATCTGATTTAATGAGGAGTTTGTCCTCCAGTACAGTGCACTGCAAAGGAGGTTTTTACCTAATAACTATAATCTTCAACATACAGTGCATCCAGAAACTATTCACAGCACTTTACTTTTTCCACATTTTGTTATGTTTCAGCCTTTTCACAAATAGTCTTAATTAATCATTTTCCTCAGAATTGCCCACCTGAGGGTCCAGGTTTCTGGGGACAGGTGTTGTGACTTAGCTATGGCTCTGAACACTGTGATGCAGGCATCAGATTGTCTTGAGCCATGTTTCTAGTATCTGTCCCCATCAAATAAACTGTAAAAAAATAAATAAATAAATAATAGAGCTAAGTTGGTGACATCATATTCAAAAAGACTTGAGGCTGGAATTGCTGCCAAAGGGGGATCAACAAACTATTGATCAAGGCTGTCAATGTTAATGTAAATGTGATATCTTAATTTTAAATTTGCAAAACTCTCAAAAACCTTTTCCACATTGTCATTATGGCAGATGTGTGTGTAAAATGTTGAGGAAAGAGATTCATTTAGTAGAATCTGGAATAAGGTTTTCCAGATGCGCAGTGTATTGTGAGCGCATCACCAAGTCATGCATATGTGTGAAGGTGTAGGAAAATGTTACATGGTCCTATTAGCATTTTCAAAAAACAAAACATCTGATATGTGTGATATGCGTTTATCAAAAGCCAAATGTCATGAATGTATTTACAAGGTGTGCTACTTTTCTATTCAAAAACATTCTGAAACCATCCAAACCTGAACCAAATTAAACTATCTGCTCCTGGTTTTCCTTCTCCAACAGGTGGAGTCTGCTGTGGCGGCCGTCCATCAGGGTCGCCGGGAGCTGCTGGAGGAGGCCTGCCGCTCCTACACCCGCAAACGCAGAGTCCTCGTCCCCGAAGACCTGAAGCACATTATTGTGGACGACCAGCACGGCCTGCTGTACTGCTATGTGCCCAAAGTAGCCTGTACCAACTGGAAGAGGGTGCTCATGGTTCTGACAGGAGTCTCAGGTGACCACAAAGACCCGCTAGCCATCCCCGCCAACGAGGCCCACGTCCCGGGAAACCTCCGGACCCTGTCCGAGTACTCCACCCCCCAGATCAACCAGCGCCTGCGCTCCTACCTGAAGTTCCTTTTTGTGCGTGAGCCATTCGAGCGGCTGGTCTCTGCGTACCGCAACAAATTCACACGGAGCTACAATACAGCTTTCCACAAACGATACGGCACAAAGATCGTCCGCCGGCACAGGCCAGACCCTCGGCCGGAAGCCCTGGAGAAAGGGGACGACGTCTCCTTTGAGGAGTTTGTGTATTACCTCGTGGACCCCGCAACCCAGCGGGAAGAGCCCTTCAACGAACACTGGGAGCGGGTGCACTCGCTGTGCCACCCCTGCCTCATCCACTACGACGTGGTGGGGAAGTACGAGACGCTGGAGCAGGACTCCCGCTACGTGCTGCAGCTGGCTGGGGCGGACCAGCAGGTCCGCTTCCCCGCCTCGTCCAAAAGCACCAGGACTACCGGAGATATGGCGGCCGACTTCTTCCAGAACATCAGCCCCTTCTACCAGAAAAAGCTCTACAATCTGTATCGCATGGACTTCCTGCTCTTCAACTACTCGGCTCCAGCCTATCTCAAGTTCAGATGAGGCCGGGACGTCTTTCAGACACAAACTTATGGACCTGCTTCTCTTTCTGCTTTTAATGGAAAAATCATGAAGTTTTCATATCTGAGCAGGTGAGAAAAACAAAAGCTGGTGAGGACATTCCATGAGGAGATGGGAGTTTCTGCCTCACGAGGCAAATGAGTTTTTATGGAAGACGTGGAGTTAACTGTTAGTCACTGGCTCTGAATGTGTGAAATGCTGTTCAAGTTTTGGTTTTCTGCTGTTTCAAAGGTGAATTTGCACAACAGGTGATCTCTCTAGAGCAGTGGTGTCCACTTTTTGCCATGTGGGCCAAAATTGTAAAGCGGAAAGTATCCATTTGCCACACAGACTAAATTTTTTAAATAAAATGCTAAATGGAATGTGTCCATGATAGAAACAAACTGGTCTGAAAATGGATCTCTAATTCATGCAAGACTGGAATTATACTCACTTTTGCCACCCATTTGTTTGTAAAAGTTTGCAGTGTTTGGACAGCGCTGCTCTAGGAGGAGAATGAATCGTATCCAGATCGTGTGTGGACAGCGAATGTCTCCAGACATGTGCCTTGGATCGTGGGCCTTCATTTTGTCCCTTGGCAACAAAGAGCTTTTCTAACTGTGACTATTCTGTTTTTTTTACTGTAGGAAACATTTTTTGTGTAACTATTATTTTAATTTATTTCTAGCTCTAAAAAAGCCAAACCAAACTAGGTATATGTTCTTCCATGTCTTTCAAATAAATGCATTTTCACCAAGATGGTTCCATGTGTTTTATTTAACTGAACAAATTGTTTTTTCTTATTTTTACAAATACAGAAGCTCTACAAATTCAGCCAGGCCTCACTGTTATTGCTATTTTTTTCTTTATGGACGTCAAAGAAATAAAGAAAAAGGCTCCACACAAGAATAAACTCTGACCTCAGACACTATTTGTCAATAGGAACACACAGACAAGTTAAATACTAGAGCCTTATAGTGTCTGCTTTATGTTGACATACAAACACAATTATGTCTATTGGTCGTAATATAAACACCCACCATCTAGCAATAACCATAGACGTGCAATAATTGGTGTTTCTACAATTTCAGTTTGAGCTCATTAAACTGCATGTGAACAACAGAGAAATACTAAAGACCAAAGTACTGAAGAGGTTTACAGTTACAGTTTTTCTTACTTGGACACTTTTTTACGTTGAACTGGTCAGATCTGTGACCTAATTCTGACCAGGAAGTGATAATCAGAGCAGAATGAACAACAGCAAAATCTGAGTTGTTGATCTTTAAACTACTCATTATGTGAGTGTTTTGTTTTCCCTTATAGTGAATCATGATTGTGGTAGAATTATGATTTGATCCAAAGTCAGATTATAGCTTCTCTAATTATTAAGTCACCACCTGTCACCTGTCTTTTTGTTTCATTGTCTTTCAACTGCAGCTGCAGTGAGCTCAGCGCTGTGCTTCAGTCTTTCACATTAGATACTGGTGCTGATCAAATGTTTCAAAGCCCGGTCCCTTCAGAGCTGAAAAACCTGAAGGTCAGGGCCAAGAAAGCGGTTCCCAGCAGGTCCCCCAGAGCCGTGAGGTAGGGGATGGAGTAGTTATCTGGATCCAAGCTCCGTCTCCACAGCCAGCGGACCATCAGGACGGAAGAATAGAGCAGAATCACCACCTGGAGGAGGAGGATGCTGGGCTTCAAATGCAAACTGTAGAGGTTTTATTACTTCTTGCAGTAAAGTGTTTCTAACCTGAAGCAGAGCTGCACACAGGTAGCAGATGATGAAGGAAGGCGTCATGGCGGTATGGCCTCCCCTCAGCAGCTGGACTGTGTAGAGGAAGAGGAGGTGACCCGGTACCACAAGGGCCACCAGAACTCTGGCCGATTTAGAGTTCACATCTGGACAAACATGGACAGAGAAGCAAACCTCCAGTAGGTACACTCACAGCTAAAGAGCCAGAAAATGTAGAATCTCCGATTTAGCCAACACGTATGTTTTGTTCTGTGGGAGGAAGCCAATGCCTGGGGCCGTTTGGAGGTAACTTCATTGATTTGTGTTAGTTTAAGTGGCAGCCATTTTGTTGTTTTGGTACACTTGTCTCTTGCTTTTTTAACTTTGGTTGTTTTATGTATGAATATGTTCTGGATGCAACATTAACTGCCCATCCAGGGCTTGAAAAAATCTGAACTGAACTGAATCCTAATTTCTCTGACTAAGAGTATTAAAGGGAAAGTATTGTGCAAAATTGACTCTTTAATCTTTACACCATGTCATAATGATATTCCCTCATCAAAAACATACCTGGAGTGTTGCTTTTATTCTTAAAGGTATGTTTGAGCAGTCCTTTAATCTCCATGGCAACCACTCAGCTATGTAAAACGCAGCAGTCAGCAAACACCTGGTGAACTCCTTCTGCAGTTTCCAAACTTCTGCCTCACAGGACAACCCTCCATTGCGACTCCCCCATTCAGCTCCTTCAGACTAGTCAGCAGCAATTAGCAAACAACTGAAACTAAGCATCTACTGAGTTTGTTATAGGGCAATGCTGGTAAAGATGTTGTTAAAGGGTTAATAGAGGAGCCATGTTGTGATGAGTTCTTGAAGGCAGAGCTTTAGAAGGAGCAGGAGTTTCTTAAAGAGACAGAGGCTCAATTTCAAGGGGTTAAATTATGAAGTCAAAATTAGGTTAGATTATATATATATATTATACGTATTTGATATTTATAACATTTATGACAGCTGAATGATAGTAAGAATAGTAGTAATAAAAATATATAATTTTTTATAGGGCTTTTTCAGACATTCCAAGATGTTTTACAAGAAAATAAAATAAATGAATAAAGTTAACATAGTAACTTGATTGGTGCTATAAAATGGCAGTGTGGCTGGAAAACACATAAAACTGCCCCAGTCTAATGTTTTCACATTAACAATGCTGTCTCATAGAACCACATGAATGCATTCAATTATTTTTACACATTTGTTAAGCTTAAGTGCGTCTGCCCCTGAAAATCAAATAAAAGTGATTCACACTTGACCCCTAGTTAGGCTTCACTTGACTTCAAATAGGTTTTGGCCTCATCCAACATGTTGACTGTTGACCATCCAACAATATGTTGGAAAAATCAGCTATTTTTCCATCACACATTACATTGCATGGAGTGCACACATAATTCTGTTTTATGTTGTATTAATACATGTGTTCCACTTTGAGACTTTGAGTTTAGTTTATTAAGCTGACTTCTTTTTTGTTGGCCTGTCTGTGTAAATGTCGGATTTGTTCATTTTTTCCATGTTTTGAGTAAACAAAACTCACTTTAAGGCGTCATAAATAATGAACCTGAAAATTAGATTTTTTTTAGTAAACATTCCCACTAAAAATATATCAAAACTAATAAAAATGGCTGTTTTTGTTCTTTTACTTTTATTTCCCAACTAAAGCTCACTATGATACTGATTTATTGACAAAGGGTTAGTAAAGACCCAAGCACTTTTTTAATGTAACATTGTTGTTGGTTTGACCTGAGGAGCAGAAGGCGGTGCAGGGTCCAGGACAGTCAGCACTCATTTTTACTGGGAGAGCTCCAGGAACGCTCCAGTAATGGAGGTAGGTGGACATCCTGCTCGCTTGGACCGCCACAAGATTTCCTCCAACTCCTGTGAGAACACGGAAACATAGAGCAACGGCCATCACTTCTAAGGAGGAGCAGCAAAAGCAAATGAGAGGGATTAGCTGAGCCGGTCAACAATTGATGTCATCCAGCACAAGTTGCTGTGGATTATTATCTCTGCTGCCGCTAAATTCAGGTGTCAGTGGCAATGTGAACAATCCATTAGGGCAGATCTATTCAGTCTAATGTGTCTTTGGTTTCTCGCCCTCAGAATCACTGTCGACTCCATGAAGATACTTGTGTCGACTATGAGTTCAACATTTAATTTTCTGTTGGGACAAATAAAGTATTTTTAGCTGAAGTGACTTAAAAATAAGGAGAATAATAAACAGCATAGTTGAAGATCTACAGATTCATTTGGGAGGAATTACATTTCAATGTCTTTAAACAAAGAAATGTGCCATCCTCATAATCCATCATGAAGAGAAACTACATCATATGTTGAATCAAGGTTCTGATCTGGTATGGATGTGATTTTAAACGCTGAGCCCAGTGCGTCAACAAATAGAGAAAAAACTTAATCCATATCCAAACAATCACTTTACTGGAAATCTAATCCAATTCTGTTTCCCATGACTCCTTTCTTTCCTCTCAAACTGTCTAAAAAGGCATTGTCAAGTTTATTTGGTATTTTCCATCTGCCTTATAACCCCTCCAGCTGATTTTATGAGCAGCAGAGTGACTACTCTCTGCTCTCACAGCTTTGAAGCACACGGATCATCGGAACAAAAACAGGAAAAGTGTTTCTGGTCAACAAGGCGTGAGAGGAGAGCCTGCATTGGAATGCAAATGCACTTCCTGGAGCGGGATGGCACAGAACAGCAGCCAGTGAAGGCATAGTTGGCATTCTGATCAGGCTTGTGGTCTATGTAAAGGCCGTTGTTATTGCTCTCCGCTCAGCGTGCCGCTCTGTGGTCAGCAGGACTCGGGTCACAGACGATCTGGTCCTCTACGCCCCTCTGAGGATCCTCTGACACAGAGGCCAATCAGACTCCAGCAGCTCTTTCATGGCTAATGATTGATGATGGGCTCAGATCTGACGCTGAGCTCGGCCTCAGCAGGGGTTTGGTTTACAGTCAGGCTCTGGAGGAGTTAGAAACATTTAATCCCGTTATTCATTATGGGATTTACTGCTGGCTTCCAGCGTAGTTCAATCATTTCAACATGTCATCATTTTTCTGCGTTGCTCATAGTTAGTCTCTTTAAAAGCGACTCTTTAGAGAGAGAAACATCATCATTATAAATCCCGTCATTGTAATTTAAAGCATTGTTTTAGCTCAATTAAAAGGATTATACCAACAATGATAAAAGAAAAACAAAGTTACTGTTCAAATCTCCGGAGACACTAACAGAGGATGAGTGCTTTATAAAAACATTTTTTACAAAACATCCTTAAACATCTATTGTTTAAGGACGATACAATTGTTCTTCTACTTATCCAACTACCTGCAGTATCTAGCTGTACTGTTATGGATAAGGCTAGCTTGCATGTAAAATGAGTGGAGAATCAGTTCTGGAAACTGTTTATTCCTAATACAATTTGAAAATTTTCTTAACTTTAATGTTCCTTCAAGTTATTTTGACAAATCTTTAAAGATCTTTCCATTTTTTTCAAATGTCAAGTTTAAATTTATGCATAGGTATTATTATTATTATATTTCTAGGCCGTTACTGTCTTGTGAATAAAGTTTGTCTTGTCTGCTTTGACTCACCGTTGATGATGGGCGTGAACACAGCCATGCCTTCAAAGCTGGGGTTGCTCACAGTTTTATCCAGAATCAGACCACCAATACTAAGAAGATGAAAATATGATTACATATCAATCAGAATAGAAAAGTTTTGTTAAAAATAATTTTGATTCCTAATGAGGTCAATTTTTGACTTTTTGGAAATGAAGCTTGTTATGTGAAAAGCTCATGACTAATCTTTGAGTTGACGTGAGGAAATGATCAGATGACTCTCACTGGTGAACTCACCTGCTG